TGGAGTGTGGAGTTTTCTTCTGACAGTGCTGGATACTTGGCAATTCTTGTAGATTCACAAGACAAATATGTACATATCACATTTGTATAGATGCTGCTTTAACACATTTTCTGATTTTTGAGGAATTTAAAAAATGTTTGTTTATTTTTGAGAGAAAGAGCTTGAGCAGAGGAGGGGCAGAGAGAGGAGACAAAGGATCTGAAGCAGAGAGCCCGATGAAGAGCTTGGACTCACGAGCCATGAGATCATGACCTGAGCTGAAGTTGGATGCTCAACTGACTGAGCCACCCAGACACCCCTTCATTTTATTTTATTTTACTTTATTATTTTATTTTATTTTATTTATTTTGAGAGAGAGAAAGCATGTGCCAGAGGGTCAGAGAGAGAGAGGGAAAGAGAATTCTATCGGGCTCTGCACTATCAGTGTGAGGAGCCTGATGTAGGGCTCAAACTCATGAATCCGTGAGATCATGACCTGAGCCGGAATCAAGAGATTTACCCACTGAACCTCGCAGGTGCCCCTCTGGAAACTGTTCTGAAATTGCTCCTGGCCCCTGGCAAGATAGACAGCCTGGCCATGGAGTCCCAGGTGACCATGTAACCTACATGGCTTATCATGAACTGAGTTATCTGTTCTCACTGGCCATCAAGTGCCCAGGAGTGCTCCCTTCCTCAAGAGGACATGGGATAAATAAGAGCAGCCCTGGGCTTCCCTTTGGAGAAGACACAACCATGCAACTCTCAGTATGTTTACTCACATTTTACTATCATCCCTCCTGCAATTCACAACCATCTCCTCCTCGGGAACTCCTATGACCATGTGACTCAGCAGGTCATCTGAGCTTGTTTTACAGATGGTATCAGCGGGAGTAGATTGCTAAGGTGTGATAGTTGCACTTGCAAATGGTCTTGAAAGAACAATGGCAAAAGGCAATCGCCCAGTGGGGAGACCTTTGAGTTGTATTCTTGTGGTTCTTTTCATCTAGAGTCTTTGTACCACTTCATGTGTCAGGTGATCTGGGGGTTAGATTGGTGACAAGGTTTGGGAGAGAGCACATAGACGAACCTCTCAGAGTAGACCAAGAAAGTAAGAGTGTTTGTGTCCTGTATGAATACTTATCAAAATGCTCCCACCGCTGAAGAAGCTTTAAGCTAGTGGACAAGAGACCCACCTTGCGGATGTAGGTCAGGCTCTTTGTCTTGTCAAGCCAGTGGCTGTTTATTGGAGTCACATGAACAAGGGCTTCCTGGTGAGGCTGACCTGACTATTGCTACTGCTGAGTGCCCATTTTTGAAGAATCATTATAATAGATTCTTTCTATCATGGTGGGTACAGTGAGTCAACCTCTTTGGGAAGAGGTTTATACTGAATTTGGATTTGCTTTTCCCACCAGCAATGCTTTTTACCATCGCCACCCTAGATGGGTTTACTACAGACCTTCCTCGCCATCACAGTATCTTATACATACATCATGGCACCTGTCTTAGTCACTTTGGGCAGTTATAACAAATTGCCATAGCCTGGGGTCTTTTTTTTTTATGTTTATTTATTTTTGAGAGAGAGAGAGAGAGAGAGAGAGCGAGCAAATGGGGGAGCGGCAGAGAGAGAGAGAGAGAGAGAGAGAGAGACAGTATTTGAAGCAGGCTCCAGGCTCTGAGTTGTTAGCACAGTACCCAATGCGGGCCTCGAACTCACTGACAGTGAGATCATGACCTGAGCTGAAGGTGGATGCTTAACTGAATGAGCCAACCAGGCGCCCTGGCCCCATCTAATACAGTCACATGGAGAGGTACGGTTTCAATGTATGAATTCTGTGGGTATGCAAACATTGGGTCCATAACAGCATCTGACCAAGGAACTAACCTAACAGTGAAAGGAGGAAAGAAACTGGCTGTCCTGTTAGATTCCTAGCCCTATCGTGGACCCCAACATCTGGAAGCAGCTGGCTTAGTAGTGAAATGGTCCATGGAATACAGCTACCTAGCCAGCTGGAAGACAACAGCTTGAGAGCTTGGATTCCATTTATACTCGGAGCCAGCAGCCCTGGAGGTGCCCGTAACTTTCTCATGTGTTCCTTTTCTGTTTAAATGAGCCAGAGTCAGTTTCCATTGCTTGCAACTAAAAACTCCAAGTAATACAAAAATACCTCTCTTGGGTATCTGGCTGGCTCAGTTGATAGAGCATGCGACTCCTGATCTCAAGCTTGTGAGTTCAAGACCCACACGGGGCACAGAGCTTACATAAAAACAAACAAGCAAACAACCTCTGTTTGTGCCATCTGTTGTAATTTTTTTTTGGTAAAAGTTCTTCCTCCACTACTAGCTTGCAAACTCCAAAGGCTGTCACCAGTTTTACTATCTTTGTATTCCCTACAGTATATAAAACACTGTGCTTAAAGTTTTTTTAAATGTTTATTTATTTTTGAGAAGGGGAAGGTGGGACGGGCAAAGAGAGAGGGAAACCGAGGATACCAAGGGGGCTCTGCTCTGACAGCAGAGAGCCCAAGGTGGGGCTTGAACTCATGAACTGTGAGATCATTACCTGAGCCAAAGTCGGACGCTTAACTGACCGAGCCCCCCAGGTGCCCCTAAAAATGTTTTTTAATTTAAAGATTTTTTTTTTAAGATTTTGTTTTTAAGTAATCTCTACACCCAATGTGGGACTTAAACCTACAACCAGAAGTCAGGAGTCCCATGCTCTACCAGCTGAGCCAGCCAGGTGTCCCAGAATGCTGTCCTTTACATAGTGAAGGATACAGGTTGCAAACTTGTAGACTCTGGGCTATCTCTGAACTGCATTTATTTTGACCAGTCTGAAGTGGCTTTTAATTTATTTGTAATGTTTATTTATTTTTGAGACACAGACAGAGAGACAGAGCGCGAGCGGGATAGGGGCAGAGAGAGAGGGAGACACAATGGAAAGCAGGCTTCAGGCTCCTAGCTGTCGGCACAGAGTCCAATGCAGGGCTTGACCTCATGAACCGCGAGATCATGACCTGAGCAGAAGTCAGACTCTCAGTTGACTGAGCCTCCCAGGCGCCCTGTGTTTATTTGTTTTTTTTAATCAATTTGGTTGCCATATAAAAGCCAATAGATTTTATATGAAATGCACACTTCCTTCCACCTTCTCCTGAAGAATTTGAAGACCTGGCCATCTTACACCCATAGTCCCATAGCTGCGCTCCCTCAACAAAGCACAGGTACCTCCATTTGCCAAAGTCTTCACTCCGTCCACTTTATTTACTTTTATTACTTACATGGCCTTTTAAGGCATGTAAATTTGCCACCCTCAATGAAATCGAATTATACTGAGTTTACGTGGCAATTAATGCTTGTGTTTTTGTTTTCATTTCACTTGTATTCTATTCTTCTAATTGGGTTGTACTAAGCCACTTCGTGGACAGAATCCTATTTTTCTTTAAATCACTTTTTGGGGGCACCTGGGTGGCTCAGTCGTTTAAGCATCCTACTTCGGCTCAGGTCATGATCACATGGTTCACGAGTTGAGCCTCAGTTCCGGCTCTATGCTGACAGCTCAGAGCCTGGAGCCTGCCATGCTCTGTCTCTCTCTCCCTCAAAAATAAATAAAAACATTTTAAAAATTTTTAGAAAATTACTTTTTGGTTTTCACATATTAACAAAAATTTTTAAAATGTTTTTAATTTATTTTTGAGAGTCAGAGAGAGGCAGAACGAGCAGGGGAGGGTCAGAGGGAGAGAGGGAGACACAGAATCTGAAACAGTCTCCAGGTTCTGAGCTAGCTGTCAGCACAGAGCCCAACGCGGGGCTTGAACCCACGAACCATGAGATCATGACCTGAGCCGAAGCCAGACGCTTAACCGACTGAGCCAGCCAGGCGCCCTAATTTTTTTTTAAGTAGGCTTCAGGACCAGTGCAAATCCCAATTTAGGGCTTGAACTCAGGATCCTGAGATCAAGACCCCAGCTGAGATCAAGAGTCCCACCCTTAACCGACTGAGCCACCCACTGGCCCCTTGATAGATATTAATATAGTCATACAACTTTTTTCTAATCCCAAGCTGACCTTGATCCCTATGAGCCTAACACCTGACTTGGTCTGGAGGTGCCTGACATTTCATCATCATGATTCGTTCCCTGGGCTAAGCTGAGATCTGGTGACTTGTCAGGTAAAGAAATTAAAATTATTTCCTGATAACACAAACGTACAACATTTCAAACTAGGTTTTAGGCGGGAAGTCATCCTTTCTACTGCTAGTAAGAAATTGGAAAAGTTTTTGCTGAGGTGGTCGAGTTTCCAGCTGGGACACCGAGAAAGATGGAAGGAGACTGGAATGTAGCTGCGTTCTGGAATTTACCGGAGGCTCTTCGGGTGGGGATTTTATCCACGGCGTCTGAGTGACTTTCCCTCGGGGTCTGGCAGCCCAGGGCGTGGTCCCTGGCACAGCCCCTGGGCAGTTGTCATTGGGATCAATTTTAAGACTCTCTAGAACCAAGCCTTCGGAGTTTCACATTTCTGGGGGCTCGTCTCCCCGGGTCCCAGTTAATTTCCCTCTCGCGCCGGGGCAGGCGGCCCCCTCCGGACATCCTTTGGCGCTTCCAGCATCAGTTTCCCCCCAGGGGGCGGGAGGGGGACGGGTATGGAGCCGCTCCTGCCCTCCTCTGCGAGCCGGGGAAGAGGAGACGTGGGAGGGAGGCTCTGCTGAGTGCAGGCTCCGGCGGGGACTCCGCCGAGGCAGTGGTCTCCCCAGGCCAGTGCCCCGGGGCACTTCTCAGCACTGCGCCCCTCTCCCCGGCACCGCCGGAGTCCTCGGTCCGGCCGCGCCGCGCGGAGGCGCCCCTGCCTCCCCGCCCCCGACCCGGCGCTCCCGCGCTCCCCCTAGCGGCCGCCGCGCGGCCTCGCTCCGTCCCAGGCTCGTCGGCGGCGCAGCTCACGTGACCGCGCTCCGGGCCTGCGGCCGCTGTCGGTTCCCCCAGTCACCGAGCGAGAGGGAAGAAACAAGATGGCGGCTGAAGGCGATCCGGAGTGGGGCCCCAGCAATTCGGATTGAGCCTTCTCCCTCCACCCGCTTCCGCCGGCCGGGCCCCTCCCGCCCGGCCCCGCGGGCCTCCCCACCCGGCCCCGGCGCCCCCCACCGCCACCCCTCCGCCCGCCCCTCCCCCCTCCGCTTTCCCTTCTCCCCCCCGCCTCGGCTCCGACATGAGGGGCCGGCGGGGCAGGCCGCCTAAGCAGCCCGCGGCTCCCGCTGCGGAGCGTTGCACCCCGGCCCCGCCGCCGCCGCCGCCGCCTCCGCCCACGTCCGGACCCATCGGGGGGCTCCGCTCGCGGCACTGCGGCAGCAGCCGGGGCAGGTGGGCCGCCGCCCAGGCTGAGGTGGCGCCCAAGACGCGGCTGAGCTCGCCCAGGGGGGGCAGCAGTAGCCGGAGGAAGCCGCCGCCGCCGCCGCCGCCGCCGCCGGCCCCCCCCAGCACCAGCGCCCCGGGCCGGGGGGGGCGAGGAGGCGGGGGCGGCAGGACGGGGGGCGGGGGCGGCGGCGGCCACCTGGCCCGGACCACCCCGGCCCGGAGGGCCGTCAACAAAGTGGTGTACGATGACCACGAGAGCGAGGAGGAGGAGGAGGAGGAGGAGGAGGACATGGTCTCCGAGGAGGAGGAGGAGGAGGAGGACGGCGACGCCGAGGAGACCCAAGATTCCGACGACGACGAGGAGGATGAGATGGAGGAGGACGACGACGATTCGGATTATCCGGAGGAGATGGAAGACGACGACGACGACGCCAGTTACTGCACGGAAAGCAGCTTCAGGAGCCATAGCACCTACAGCAGCACTCCAGGTACCCACCCAGCCCAGTTGCTGCAGACTCCTTCCCCACCTCCCGTTCCCGCCCCCCCTTCTCACTCCCTCTCTGGCCTCCCCCCACCCCGACCTCCCCCCCCAGACGGAGGGGAAACGCGACGGCACATCAAGTGGCAAAAAACTAGATTTACAAGAGGAAAGAGGCGCATTGTTCAAAATGGAGATTGCATTGTTGCAGTTTGCAGGCCACACACTCGCTCTCTCTTTTCTCTCCCCCCCCCCCAACCCCCTCTCTTTCCTCTTCAAAATTTGTGCCAGTGCAGTGTCTCCACCGGGCAGGATTGAAACTTTGGCACACACATTTCCATTGCATTCATTTTTCTCCCCATGTTTTGGTTTGCTTTTTGGAATGAAAGAAGCCTCTTGTTTTGCAGACCTCTTTGCATTTCTAATGTGGTTTCTTTTAGATTGTTGTTATATATCTGTTCCTTAAAAGGGAATTGAGGATTTAGACAGATTGGGGCACACGGATGCTCAAAAACACGCGTCTCTTCACGCTCCCGGCGGTGTGGTTTTAAAATTGTGTTGAGGAAATGGATCGGTTAGGTTAGTAGGGGAGCCTTATCTGGTCCCGTGTGTTTGTTTTTATTCTGGAGTGCTAATGGGCTCGTGCAACAGTTGCTAGTAAATGGCTGATGGAAAAAGAGCAGCGTAGAAAACCGAACAAAACCAAAACCGATTTGGCAGTATGTTCGATTCCAAGTCATTTTAGTAAAATCCAAAATACAAGTAAGAAAGCAGTGGCAGCACGCGGCTTAGCTAATTCGATCCCTTTGCTTCGCCTGAGAAACGCAGTTTCGTATCACCTGTTGCAGAAGATGTATAGTTGATCATGCAGACATAATTGCTGAAGGTGAACTTTTGGACTAACTTCTAAGTTACACAGTAGAAGTTCACGGGGATTTATTACAAAATGACTCTTTTTCTTTTTCCCCATTCTGTTTCTAAGGCTAAGTCTTCCTTGGGTCTGTTAATGAATTTTTCCAGGGTGACTTCTCTCCTATTTTCTCACAGAAAGTTTCTCTGGGCTGGTGCTGGGATGCATTTATTTTGTTTTGTTTTTAAACACACAATTGCTGCTTTGTATTAAATAGTCGTTGCAGGTTACTAAATTGTGAAAAAAAATAATTTGTAACAATAACCTACAAGAGTCTTCCTGTATATTTTTGTTAGTCTGGATTAACTAAATTACATTCCAGTTTTGAGAGCATTTACAAGGCAAAGTTTATGAGGAAATAGGATCCTTAAAAAAAGTAATGACCGTGTGTCACTTGCTTTTAAAAGAGACTAGGATAGTCAAAGAGGTTAAATCAAAATGTTTCCTTTTTTTTTTTATAAATGCATAACTCCTTATGGAGGAGTGTGAGTATTAAGCCAGAGTAGGCTCATTTGGGTTGTTTTAACAGCAAGTGCAAAAGGTGATTTTTTTTTTTTTTTTTTTGCCTGACAGACTAGCTGCCTGCCTTTGCGGGTTTGGGGGATGCGAGGGGTGGGGTGGGGGGGGGGAGGCTGGGAGAAGATTGAAGGGAATGAATCAAGTTCAAGTGTTTAAGTCTTGCGTGTAGAAGGAACTGCATGCTACTTTTCATTTCTTGCCCACTTAGTATCTTTTATAGTAATAGTTTTTACCTTATGAAATCACATGCGGTTCTTTCTACCCAGAATTGAAAGACCCATAGAGAGTGCATTACACTCTGAATTACATTATCTGAGCAAGTTTTTTTCGGGCTAGACAGAGCTGAGGGATTTTGGCAGGGTCGTTCAGCTAACTTTGACCTCTCTTTGAGGGACCAGCAGATAATATTTAGGATTGAGAATTTATGTATATGCGGAGTTAAATTACAATTTGTGTTTAGATTTCCTTTTTTTTTTTTAAATACATGTATATTCATGTACTTCCATGACATTGTGTTTTTATTAATGATACTTGTATTCTACCTCGTAGGATACTTGTCCTGTCTTTATATGAAGTTAAGGGTTATATCTTCGTTTATTAATCTTCTGTCCCTTGCAATTCCTAGTACCGTGTCTGGCACTATGCAGTCACTCATCAAAGATTGGTTAGATACATGATTGTTAGTTAAGTGAGAGCTTGTAGTAGATGGAAGTTTTGATAATTCTACAGTGGGTGCCATAGCTCCTAAATATTTGGGATTTGGGAAACTAAAAATTAGTCTAAGTAAATTTTGGTAGTGTGACCAGTGAGTGTTTTTAGTAAAAGCAGAGTCAGTGTGTTTTGAACTAATATTTCATATTACTTGCCAGGCATTTTCCTTTCTTTATTGGATGTGGTGTTAACTCGTTGGATGACTTGCTTTTTAAAACACATTATTTCTGAAGATTATTGTAAAAGGGATCATGCATTTCATGTTCTCAACTTTGAGAATATGTCTACTTGGCTAGAATGAGTAACAGTGCATGACAGTGAGTTGTTGAGGCTAAGCACCAGTTTCATTGGTTTTTATTGTCTGTTCTTCCAGACAATAAAGGCTGGGAAGGAGACTGTCAGGTAAATGTGTATATGTGTATGCTTGGAAGAAAAAAACGTTCTGGGACTGATATCCCAGGAGCACCTAAAGAAATATTTGGTGGGTTTGAATCCTGTACTGTCAAAGCTAAAAAAGGATTATTCTTTATTGGTAATTTAGAACAGTTTGATTAATTTTTGTAGACTAGAACTTTGGCTTAAGTACTAACATATTAAATTCCCAACAAAAGAAATTATTCACTAGTCTATTCATATATTGAGTACTATGTAGATAATATGACTGTTCATGATGCAAGGACATTGGTTGATATTACAAGCTTACTTTTCCAAAACCATCAATTTTTTTAAAGTTTTTTTATTTTGAGAGAGAGCATATGAGCAGGGGAGAGTTGGAGATAGAGGAGAGAGAGGAGAGAGAGGGGAGAGAGGGGGGAGAGAGAGAGAGAGAGAGGGAGAGAGAGAATCCTAAGCAGGCTCTGCATTTGACTCCACAAAGGTCTCAAACTCATGAACCGTTGAGATCATGGCTTGAGCCGAAATCAAGACAGGCTCAACCGACTGAGCCACCCAGGTGCCCTACCATTGATTTTTTTTTTAAGTTTATTTTTTTTCCAGTAATCTCTACCCGCAGTGGGGGCTCAAACTCATAATCCTGAGATCAAGAGTAGCATGTTCCACCAACAGAGCCAGCCAGGCATCTCTAAAGTCATAGATTAAAAAGTTTTTTCATTGGAGACTAAATGTTTACCTTTTATGGAGAAAAATTTTAAATAGGTACATAAGGTACTCACATGATGGTATGATAGAGATGACACATTGTTAATACAAAATTGAAATCATATAGTTTTTTCAGCTAGAGGCATTTGGCTGAAAAGTCTTTTATTTACTTTTATTGTTTAATTTAGAATTATTTCAACCCGTATATAGGTTTTTTGATATATTTTGTCAACACATTGAGAAAGATTGTACAGAAAATGTTTCTTAAAATTTTTATTTATTTTTTAAATGTTTGTTTTTGAGAAAGACAGAAAGCACGAGCAGGGGAGGGAGGGGATGAGGGACAGAGCATCTGAAGCAGGCTCTGTGCTGACAGAGCGCAATGCGGGGCTGGAACTCATGAACCGTGAGATCATGACCTGAGCTGAAGTCAGATGCTTAACCAACTGAGCCACCCAGGTGCCCCTTTTTATTTTTTATTTTATTTTATTAAAAAAAATTTTTTTTAATGTTTTATTTATTTCTAGGAGAGAGAGAGAGAGAGAGACAGCTTGAGCAGGGGAGGGTCAGAGACAGAGGTAGTCACAGACTGAAACAGGCTCCAGGCTCTGAGTTGGCAGTCAGCACAGAGCCCGACGCGGGGCTTGAACCCACGAACCGCGAGATCATGACCTAAGCGAAAGTCTGACGCTTAACTGACTAAGCCACCCAGGCGCCCCCCCTTTTTATTTTTTAAAAATGTTTTTATTTATTTTTGAGAGAGAGCATGAGCGAGGGAGGGGCAGAGAGAGATGGGGACAGAGGATCCAAAATGCGCTCTTTGCTGACAGCAGCGAGCCTGATGTGGGCTCGAACTATGAGCCGTGAGATCATGACCCAAGCCGAAGTCAGCCGCTCAACCAACTGAGCCACTCAGGCACCCTGAGAATTAAAAAAATTAAGTCATACTTGAAACTGAATAGTTTCTTCTTGTAACCTGTGTGAGACTTCTGAGGTATTCTACTTAATTGGAATTATGAGATTTGGAGCCTCTGATGACTTTAGAAAGCCAGAGACCCAGTGTTTTCCTGGGAGAGTAGGTGATCTATGTCCTTTAAGGGTTATGACAGAGGAGCACAGTGGTATATGCCATGAATGAGCTGTAGATTTATCTGAAGCAGCATTTGTTACTGGTTTGGCAGTATTTATTCCAACCAGTGTCAACCAAGTATCTTTTCAGTGTTTGTGTAATTCCTGATTGCTACGAGTCAGCTACAAAATGCAGTAGAGATTTAGTGAAGGATGAGCTCATATCCACTTTGCGGGAGTTGGTGTGGGTCTGTGCTTCCTGGACGGGTATGTGCAAGGTGACGGTGGATAGACCAAAGGAGGGAACACCATGAAGTAAGGCTCTGATTTCTTTTCTAAAGATTTTTTTTTTTTAAGTACTCTCTACACCTGTTGTGGGGCTCGAACCCACAACCCTGAGATCAAGAGTCACATGCTCCACCAACTGAGCCAGCCAGGCACTGATTAAAGAAAGTGTGGGCAGCCTTAAGTAACCTGGTTTAGCAAGAGCATGAGCATGTCAATAAGAAATAAGCTATAGGAGCGCCTGGGTGGCTCCATTGGTTAAGTGTCCAACTCTTGATTTCAGCTCAGGTCATGATTTCACAGTTTGTGGGTTTGAGCCCCATGTCAGGCTGTGTGCTGACAGTGTGAAGTGTGTTTGGGATTCTCTCTCTCTCTCTCACTCTCTCACTCTCTCACTCTCACTCTCACTCTCACTGCTT